TTTGGTTTTTAAGTTTGGATTAGTGTTTTTAGATTTTTGTTTTGATTTTTTTTTTTGGTTCATATTGATACTTTGGATATCAATATATCATTATATTAAGATTAATTGTCTTGATTTTTTATTATTTTTTTATTTTTAAAACTTTTATTCGCATTATAGAGCCACAGATAACCAAACATCAATATTAATATAATCATTTTAATTCCACCCTACTACCAAACATGCCAAATACTTTCACCAAAATCCATTACCATTAACAACTATTTGATTCACATTCTAATTTCGATTTTATTGTGTGAACCAAACATACCCTTAATATTATGTGAATGAGCACAGTAAAATAAAAATATTTGTTTTTCAAAAAACATAAATAAATAAAAATATTTGTTCATGACCCCTCACCTAGTACACGTTGACATGGGATTTTGTCAGTTCGACATAAGATTTGAGATTGTAATTGTCATTGACATTGACAAAAATACAAGCAAAGCAGCTGCTGACTACATCCTGACTGTTTCTATTCTTAAATTTTACTCTCAATTCGTACTCATTACTTTTTAATGTTGACATTTTCTTTAAGACACATAATAAATATAATTTATTATTATTTTTCAAATTAAAAAATAAAAGTAAGAGAGTAAAGATAGAGAATTGATAGAGATTAAGCGTTGCGAAAAAGAAGCTTTTATATGCTCTTAAATGTCAGTTTGGTACCTTACTCGTTGAAACCAATGGAGTGCATGTGCATCTCTATCTAAGTATCTACCCATCTACTTTCCTAAATTTCTGCATCTACCATCACTCCATCATCATAAATTCAACTTCTCTCCCCAAATCATTACATTGATAGTTAATACTCTACTTCCTTTTTCATTAAGTTGCATAATAAATATACCTTTAAAGAGTTTTATTTCTATTTTGATTTTCATGGACAAGTAAAATCAAAATTACAAGAGATCAGAATAGGATATACAACATCACCAGTAATGTGAATAAAAAAAATGTCTAATTTATTCGAGAGGAGAGTCCAACTGATAAAGACCAAGACTTAAACCTAATTTGCTTCCTAGTGAACATAAGTAGTGAAAAAACAAGTATACTTTTTGGATAGCAATCTCCTAACAGAGTTAATGAGATGGCAATGTGGTGCTTTGTTTCCACTTTCCACCTTCTCTTGAAATTATGGTGACTAATTATTGATGTAATTAGTTCACCAAAAAGGCATTTAGGTGATTATAATTCATTGGAATAAGGGTCAAATAGGCCATTGAACCACACACGATAATGCAATTAGATCACTGAACTCAAAAAAGTTACAATTGAGTCCCTAAACTAACCATTTCAAGCAATTTGTTCAATTTGCAAGTTTTTCTCATTTCTAATCGGTCATCCAATTTAAACTATTTTTAAAAAAAATAATTAAAAAAAAAAAAAAAAAAAACTCCGCCTCTGGCCAGAGACGAATAAGGTTTCTTCGTCTCCAGCGGAGACAAAGATACGTTCTTCGTCTCCAGTGGAGACGAATTTTTTTTTTTTTTTTTTTTTTTTTTTTTTTTTTTAAAGAGGGGGAAAAATGATGCATTAATCAAAGGAAAATAGGTATATTCTGGAGGAAAATGACTTCTCCTTTTTTGGGGGATGTCATTTTCTAAGGGATGCACATACAAAAATTTTTGGGTCTAATTTTTTACGGGCTTTTGCTAGTCGGCCCACCAAACCCGTAGGCTATGGTTCATGTAAGTATTAACCAAAGCTCGTCCCATGCGGGTTGACGGGCCCCGCAGGCCGGTCCACGAGTTTTTTTTTTTTTTTTTTTTTTTAATTCAAAGTTTTTTTTTTTTTTTTTAAAAAGTAAAGTCTACAAATAATATTAAGGGAAAATGACACTTTTTCCCCCTAAGTTATATACCTATAGCATTTTTTTCCCCCTAAATTATTGAAGTGGCTGTTTTTCCCCCTGAAATGTTAAATGGACATATTTACCCTTAAGCTAAATATTTAATTTATTTTTTTTTCCAACAAATTATGACCATAATTTGGTTCAAACTAAACAAACACTATAGCAACCAAACTGAAATATTCCAATTACAATTTAGAATCGAAATTCAATATTTAGAGTTTATTAAAATCGTGAACCAGAACGGACGGTTCATGTTCCGAACTGAAAAAATAAAATACATTTATTGTTGAATTTAGACTATTTTAAAATAAAAAATAAAATTTTAAAATAAAGACGGTTCAAAATCACGAATCAGATCCGGAACCGCCGGTTCACAGTTCAAGATTCAATTTTTTTGATACATAATTTTAATAAATTGACATTTAAATATTGGGTTCTAGATCTGAATTATAACCGTAAACTATTAATTCGATTGCTTTAGTATCCGGTTCAATTCAAACCGAACCGTGGTCATCCCTACGTATACACAATAATTTGTTGGAGTAATAAAATAAATAAAATGTTTACTTTAAGGGTATAAATGTCAATTTAATATATTAAGGGGAAAAGACACCACTTTTAGAATAATTGAGGAGGCTAATGTGCTTACCTAAATAATTGAAGGGGAAAAAGTGCTATAAGTATATAACTCAGGGGTAAAAAGTGCCATTTTCCCTAATATTAATTTTTTCATATTTAAAATTTTTAAAATGTTTTATATATATATATATATATATATATATATATATATATATATATATATATATATATATATATATATATATATATATATATATAGTCGCGTTCATGTGCGAATAAGTGCTCAGGAGAGAAATGCGAACCAATCAGCGCGCGCCATGTGTGAGCATTCATTGATCGGGTGTACCTACTTTCACCTATACGTGCACCTACTTTCGTCTGTAAGTGCATGTAGTTTTTGCATGCATTCATTGATTGGGCGCACCAATTTCACCTACAAGTGCACCTACTTTCGCCTGCAGGTGCATGTAATTTTGCCTGTTAACATTCATTGATCTGAGTTCAGCGGGTAGTAATACCCCTGAAAACCACTCGCAAACATTCATGTACCTATGTGCAACTACTTATAACTATAGGGGGGGTGTTTGGTTCAGGTTATATAACATAACCAAGGGAATGTGACATTCCGGTGTTTGGTTCATATTATCTTAGGGAATCTAACATTCTCAAGGAATGTCACATTCCCTCCATAAAGGATTTTGAAGGGAATGTGATTCCCTTCAAAATCTTAGGTAATGTAAGATAACCTTGGTTATGTTAGTTTATTATATATGTATATATATATATATATATATATATATATATATATATATATATATAATTATTTTTGTAATTATATTTTTTTATTTTATTTTTATTATGTTATGTTAGCATATAAAATAATTTTGTTTCTCAAGTTCAAGATTTTAGTTAATATTTTAAAATCATGTAATTATATATGATACCGTTATCTTATTTATTTATTTTAATTTTTAAATTTATTAAAATATATGAAAATATGTTAAGGATATTATAGTGTGTATAAAAAATAACCCTAAACCAAACATGATTATATTACATACCCCAATTTTAACCAAACACAGGAATCTAACATTCCCAACAATCTAACATTTCCTAAGGTAATCTGACATTTCGTGAACCAAACTACCCCTAGGTGCACTTACTTTTGCCTGCAAGTGCATGTAATTTTGCCTTGTTAACATTCATTGATCTGAGTTCAGCGGATAATAATACCCCTAAAAACCACTCGTAAACATTCATGCACCTAGGTGCAACTACTTATAACCATCAGTGCAACTACATATAACTATTGGTGCAACTACTTATAACTATATGTGCAACTACTTATAACTATAGGTGCACTTAGTATTGATGCTCAGTGTAAATTTTACTTGCACCTATAATACATTTTACTTGCACTTCGATGTTAAATTATTTAGATCCATTAGATCTGGACACGTGTCGCGCGCTGATTCGTTTGCATATTCCATCCTGGGCGCTTCTTTCGCACTCGAGTGCAATTCTATAGAGTTATTTACCAAAATGGTCCCTTGACTATAGCGAAATTACCAATTTGGTCATTGACTATTTTTTTAACCAATTAAGTCCCTCAACTTTAAAAACTTTAACCATTTTGGTCCCCCGTTTGTTTGACCGTTAGTCAACCGTTAACCTGGGACCAAATTGGTAATTTCGCTATAGTCAAGGGACCATTTTGGTAATTAACTTTATGGGTGGGCAACTCGGTTTAGTTTTCTCGAATTGAATCGTACCGAACCGAACCGAACCGAACAACCGAACGGTTCGATAAAAAATTGATCTGAACCAATCCGAATTGTTTGATAAAAAATTGAACTGATCCGAATACCGTTTGATTTTTTCTAAAAATATAATAATAATAATAATAATAATAATAATAATAATAATAATAATAATAATAATAAAAATAAAATAAATAAATAAAAAGTAAATCCAAGTCCCTTGCTACTTGCTCTACCGTTCGGTTCGAGTTTTTACCGAACCGTTCGATATACAAGAATCTATTAACGTTCAATTTTTTGGTATATTACCGAATCTAGCTAGTTTGGTACGGTTCGGTTGGAGAAAACTTAACCGAATTGTCCACCCTTAAAGTTAATTACCAAAATGATCCCTTGACTACAACAAATTTCCAATTGGTCCCAAGTTAACGGTTGAGTAAAAGTCAAACAAACGGAGGACCAAATTGGTTAAGATTTTTAAAGTTGAGGGACTTAATTAGTCAAAAAAAATAGTCAAAGACCAAATTGGTAATTCCGCTATAGTCAAGAGACCATTTCGATAATTAACTCCTAAAAAAATCATGAAATTATTTTTCTTCAAATTTTGAAAATTAAACTTCTGATAAATCAATTCACCTATCAACAAAACATGATAAATATTGTTTTTCCCCAAATTTTAAGAATTGAAATTTTAAGAAATTAAAAAACTCCCATCAATGAAATGCCCGTCCGTGATGAGAGGAAAGGAAAAAATAAAAATAAAAAATAGTACATAAATGCATCGTCTTCCTAGCTGTCGTGCACGGGACAGCTTGAAATATGAAACTGCGTTTAAAGCGCGGGGTCAGAGTCGGAGAGTGAGGCGCAGCCGCAGCGCCCATAACTTCCCCATTCATTCCTCAAGTCGGCACCATATCCATACTCTAAGATGTGAACTTCTTTTCTTTGTATTATTTTTATTTTTTTTTTTTAATTTTTTTTATCCTTCTGATTCATCTATAAATCACTCCACTCTTCAGTCTTCGCTCAGCTCTCCACTTTCAACTCTCGATCTCTCTTTCTCTTTCTCTTTCTCTTTATACAGGTTTTGATTCAGTCGGGAGTTCCGGCATGGCGATTGCGGCGGCAGCTGTTATCGTCCCAGTGGGCGTTCTTTTCTTCATTTCCGGTCTTTTCACCAATGCCATTCAGGTCTTCTTTCCAATCCTCCTCAAATGCTCTTATTTTTCCGCTCATGCTAGTAGCTAAGGACTTCAATGTGATCATTTTGTAGAGTTAATTAAACAGAGCCTTTGTTAGGAGTAGTAGAATTTCTGGGATTTTTCGGGTGGTTTGATCCATACTCCCTAGGTTTTTTGATGAGTTAATTACGTGATCTCTTTGGTGCTTGGTTGTCAACCAATCATTTTATTCACTCAAGTAGCGTGTAAAGGGAAGTATTGAGTTTATTTATTTGTTTCTTTTCTAAAATAATTCAGTGAGCTGGATGTGTAAAAACATTGCTTAAGCTAATAGATTTCCCTTTATGTAAATTGAAAATTCTCAGGCTATTTGCTATGTTGTTATAAGACCATTCTCAAAGAGCACATACAGGAGGATAAATAGGCTGTTTGCAGAGCTGTTGTGGCTGGAGCTTGTGTGGCTGATTGATTGGTGGGCTGGTGTCAAGGTAATGTTTCCATTCCCATATTATGCTTGCTTACCTTAGTCAGTCTCTCAATCTAGATGATTTAGTTGATTATTGCGTTAAATACTCCATTTGCTAAGCATGTGTGTTTATACTAACTGAAGTAGGTTGTAACTTGTGAACAATGACTTGCACCTATGAACTACACAATATCAGTATTGATGATTTGTTTCTTGTCTTAAGTAGCAAAGTTGCATTGTTATCCAAAGTATGAAAGCATGAATTGCAATTTCTGGATTTATGCCAACCTCACTGTATCAACATCAAAACTACCTATTCACCTAGGGCCTAGGAATGTGTTGAAAGTTGTAATCACTTGTCAAAAGGAATACTTTTCTGGGTGAGTTTTTTGAGGAGCAAAAGATTCTTGAGTAAGTCATTTTTCAATGGGTAACATGTATACCGCTGTGCTTGGCAGGCTGGCAAAGAGAATTCTACATGGGTGGCATTGTGGCAATGTATTTTCCATGTTTAACCCATTTAATTAGAATGCACTAGTGCCTTAAATTAAATGGACATTTATTAACTGTGCCACTGCTTCAGTAAAGAGTTGCAATCATTTTCACTGTGGTCTTGCCCTCTTGTCCATACTTTGAGTGCGCAATCAAATTTCAAATAATCAGATCATTTTTGACTTGAAATCTTTTCTATTGGTTATCTTTCTTGTGGTTCTGATACTTGCAACTGGAAAATGGTAATGCTTTACATTTACTCAGATTAACAGTGAAATAGCAAAATGTTTCTTCAGATTTGAGTAAAGTTACCATTCTCCATTTCCATGTTTATAATTGGTGAGTTCAGTCTGTCATATTGGTTATTTTTGTGTTGTAGGTCCAATTGTATACAGATCCGGAGACATTTAAACTTATGGGTAAGGTTTTTCAGTTGTTAAACAGTCATACGTATGCACCATGTTTGTTTAGCTGTTCTTATCATGGTTGCGTTCTGCTAATTTTCTAGGTAAAGAACATGCTCTCTTAATATCTAATCACAGAAGTGACATAGATTGGGTTGTTGGATGGGTTTTAGCTCAGGTTCGTTTTATATCTGTTCCTTTGCTAGTTCATAAATCTGTTCTTTTTTATATCTGTTGCTTGGGTCTATCCATCTGTCGCATGTGGCTAAACTCTATAAGTGTATGGACATATATGTGTGTGTGGGTTTTAGCTTGGGATTGTCTTATATTAGTTGCTTCTTTAGTTAACATATGCCATTCACTTTAATCAGACTTGGATGGCAATCCATGTTTATCTATAGTTGTATTTACATTTATGTTTGGGCCTATTCTTGTGTGGCTATACCTATAAGTATATGTGCACATATATGTTTTGCATGTTTATTATTATTATTATTATTTTTTTATATATAATAGTTTTTTTATCCTTATTTTCTCTTAAAAACTTGCACTTGCATTTCAACTATTAGTCAACTAATATTTGAAAATGAATAAAGTTCATGTTCCATTAGTTGCATGATGATAATTTGGCAGATATAGTCATTAATATCATTTCAGACCTCTGACGATTGAATTTTGAATTTCCCAACTGCAGCGATCAGGTTGCCTTGGTAGCACACTAGCTGTAATGAAAAAATCATCTGTTTACCTTCCAGTAAGTTTTTCTTGAAACTAATCCCAATTGTCTTCTGAAAGTTAAACTGTCAACTGGGAAGATATATAATTAGAACTCTGATGTCACCAAATATTTGCATGAATCTTGAATGATAGTAATCTTGTGAGTGTCGGAACCTTGCAGTTTTAATTTGTGTCTCTGAAACTGCTACTTATTTATCTATGGTTGTGGGTCTCTGGTAGTACTGGGAGGGTTTTTAATCAGTATTTATTTCATCAATTCATTTTACTTATAGGTTCAGTACAGAGGAGGAAATAAAAGAGTACTCTGTAGCATGTATTCTGATCCATCGTTAGCTAAGCCTAGTAAACCTGAATATCCCATTTAATTTTGCTTGTACTTTGTTCAATACTATAATCACTAAGTTATATTGCTCATTTGTTTGCACTTTACTTGAATACTTAAATGTATTTTGGGAACAATTATAATTTTCATATTTCTACAGGTAATTGGTTGGTCCATGTTTTTCTCTGAGTACCTTTTCCTTGAAAGAAGTTGGGCCAAGGATGAGAGCACATTGAAGGTATGACTAAACAGGGTGCATTATAGTTGCATGTGTTGTACCCATGTGTATATGATTGTATATATGCACATTTGTTTTTGTATTTAATTTTCTTGATTTTAAGATTTATAATCACCTAATTAATTGATTAGTTTGAACTTTGTGGGGTTTGACATGCAGTCAGGTCTTAAAAGGCTACAGGATTACCCACTTCCTTTTTGGTTGGCACTTTTTGTTGAAGGCACTCGCTTTACACAGGCAAAGCTTTTAGCTGCTCAAGAATATGCTGCATCTACAGGTTTACCAATTCCAAGGAATGTTTTGATTCCTCGTACTAAGGTGGGCATAGAATATGCTTTCATTTAGAGAAGATTTCTGTCATCATGCTTTTGTCTATACCTGAAATCTGTGCAAATCATGCTTTAGACCTTCATAGTCTCCCCTTGCTTGGGATTTCAACTGTTCTACCTTGACTAATTTTCTTTTGACTTTTCAAAATTTTCATTACTGTGATTGCTAACACTTTGTTGTTTGTTTGTCTATCATGCACTGTTAGTTGTTGCTTCATCTTTCATGATAGATGTAGAGTGACCCCAAAGTTTGGAGTGTCAACTAAGGAGTGTCCCTACTTCTAGGGCAATGGCTGGTTACTTTGAGGATTAATAGAACTGTTCAACTTTGTTAGTTGTTTCCCATACTTTCTCGGGGAGGTGTGCATGGGGAGAACTTAGCTGTGTTTAGTTGTTTACATTTTGGTTTGTTGACTATTGAAAAGTTGTTAGTTTATTGTCTATTAGTTGATGGTTTGAGAAAGTGATTAAGTTGGAGATCAGAGTTAGGTAGAGGAGATCTTAGTCATTTTGCCTAGGTATGCTATCTTAAACCAGCAATATGTATTGTTTTTCTTTGGGAGGTGAGAACACCAGAAAAATGTGGAAGTTGGATGTACACTCTTTAGGCTCAAAGGAACTGTGGACTAGGCATAGAAAGCAGTTTTCCTGTGTTGAATATGATGGATGTCTCAGACACAGCTATATTATTTATTTAAAATTAACATGGTTTTTAGTTATTATTGTTGTTTGAGTTGAACTTCGTTGGTTCTTTGTTTTAATTGCCACCTATTTTTGAATTTAGGTATGATTCACATTGTTCTGAAGAAATGATTTGTATATTTATCTTCATGTCAGGGTTTTGTTACCGCAGTAAATCACATGCGGTCATTTGTTCCTGCTATTTATGAGGTGACAGTTGCTATTCCTAAAAGTTCACCAGCCCCAACAATGCTACGAATTTTCAAGGGTCAGCCTTCTGTGGTAAGCCAGCACAATAAAAGTAGTTGAAGACTCATCCTGTGTTTAAGCAATCCTGTCATACTGCATTTTGCATGTGATTTGCTTTTCTTTTATGGTTTTGGTTTGGTTACCAACAGTAACAACCTCTTTGAATCTGTTGAACAACAGGGATCTGTGTCCATTGAACACTGGTTTGATTGGACTAAAGATCTGCCCAAAAGGGTACAGGTTTTGTATGTAGGCTACTAGGCCTTATGCTATATTTGCTTATATGGTGCAAATAGGCATGATTCTTTCAATCTTTGACTTTGTTGCATTTGGGGGATTTTACAACAGGGTTTGGTGAAATTGAGCTTCGGAAAAGCAATGCTTTAGCTTTATGATGATACGTCCACTATTGGCCAGGAATTTAGAAGTTGAAAATCATATCAGTTCATTTAGATGCTGTGTGTTTATGGGTAGAGAGTTCCTAATTCTTTTAACTATTATTTAATGATGGTGCAGGTGCATATTCATATGAAGCGGCATATGATGAAGGATTTGCCAGAAAATGATGATGACATAGCTCAATGGTGTAGGGATGTCTTTGTTGCCAAGGTTTTGTCCTTTCTCATTTAATGCCTTCTGGTATAATAGGAGAATCAACTCATATGAACTTGAAAGCCAAGAATTTAAAATACTTTATTTGTGAAGAGTTTTCCGATTTTTACCTCATAAATACATTCCACTTTGGTTTTCTGTAAAAACCTTCTTATCCTGCTTTTTAATTGAAAAGGACAAGTTATTAGACAAACATATTACTGAAGACTCCTTTGGAGAAGAAAAGCTGCAAAACATTGGCCGGCCAGCGAAATCCCTTGTGGTAAGATGCAATCTATTGCGAGTAGTAAAACACATTATATTATAGCCTCCAATCCAATGGGTACGGTTGTGTTACAAGCTAACTCGATTATTTTCTTTTTCAATAAACACACAGGTTGTTGTATCTTGGGCATGTTTGCTAATTGTAGGGGCCATTAAACTCTTCCAATCTTCACCACTTTTATCTTCATGGAAGGGTATCACAGTTTCAGCCACACTGTTGGCTGTCATTACCATTCTTATGCAGATACTGATTAATTTCACACAGTTGGAGCGCTCAACGCCTGCCAAGGTTGCACCAGCAAAGCGACAGAATGGGAAAAAAGTCGTGGAGAATGGGCAGCGAAAAGACGAGTGAATCACAATGGTTATCCCCTCCCAGATAGCAATGGTCCCTTCTTCATCACCTATAGATGCTCATTTTCTGAAGTAGAAGATGAGCTTATGTATTATGTAGTGAACATGATTATATGCTCAAATTTTTGTATGAGATTTATGCTACTTAGTCTTTTATATCTCACAGAAAACAATGATATGATCAACCTCACTTGAATCCTAAGAGTATTAATTCTCTAGCATATACTCTTTGATCCAATCCGTCGTGCAAATAAGGTGCAATACTTTCTACTTGCTATTATTATCGCGTTTATAATTTCGCCTCTTGATTCATCGTTTTCTTTACAAATTTGTCTATGGAGTTAACAATAGAGAGGGAGATGGACTATTTGATGGAAGATTAAATTTGATAAAATTATAAAAATTAATGTCAGAACTCATTACTTTATTGAAATTAGGTATCATTATTCTATTAATTAAGCCTCATCACTCCTCATTTTGTTGCATTCTCATTTATCTCTCCTCACTTCATTGACTTCTTACTCACTTGGCCTCATCGCTAGGGCTGTTAACGAATCGAATATGAACGAACAGAAGTTGTTCGTGTTCGTTTGTTAAGATTTTAAAAGTGTTCGTGTACCTTTGTTAAAATTTTTAAAAATCCTGTTCGTGTTCATTTGTTAAGCATTCATTAGTAATCGTGTTCGTTCGTGAACGCTTAATAACCAAACAGAGGCTCATGTTCATGATCATAATTCGTTCGTGAACAAAAAATAATCTATGTTCACAAACAATTACCAAACAAATATATATATATATATATATATATATATATATATATATATATATATATATATATATATATATATATATATATGCTTAACTGCTTGTTCATACATAAACGAGCTTGTTCACGAGCTCTTAGCAAACGAGCCTATAACTGTTTAGACTTTGTTCGTTTATGAACTGAGCTCTAAAATTTGTTCATATATGTTCGTTTACTTTAATAAACGAACATAAACAAATTAAACACTTACCGAATATGAACGCGAGTATTTTATCAAAAGTTCTGTTCGCTAATACCCCTACTAGTCATCGCCACTCTTAAGAAATTTTTTTTCTTTGTATTTTTAAAATCTTTATTCTGATTATATAGGATCCTACATAATGGAATATCAATATTGATAATATACCACATCAAATATGCAAAATACTTTCACAAAACCCATTTCAATTATCAAATATTTAATTTCCATTCCAATTTCGATTCCCAAGTTGGAGCCAGACAGACTTTAAATTTGGTATTTATTCATTCTAAGGAGTACATTTAATTTCCACTAATGTTACTTTCAATTAAGTTCATTAAATTACTTCATCTGCAACTGTACAAGACACAAACATAGAAATTCAGGAGTGCTGTCGTCCTACATCTTATCTTTTACAGTTTTACAGAGCAAAACACACTCGTGCGGTCTTGAAAACTGAAAACACAAAAATAACAGAGTGAAAAGTATTCTTATTTTTAATCTCAGATCTACCCATTGGGAAGTGTATTATATGCATTCCACATTGCTACCGGTCATTTTATTTTATTTTTTTAATAAATTGATCAATAATTTTGTTATTGTTGTAGTCTATAGAGGAGATGTGTGCATGTCAAGTTTTTACATGCATGCCAAACCAAATTCCTGAAAACAGGCGTAGGTGTTGGGTTTTCTCAATCTAATGATTTTCATTTCCCATAAACAAATCACTAATCACCTCGAGAGTTCCAAATTAAAACTGATACATAAACATATTCATCTAATTAGCTCTTCAGATATACGGAGTATTTCATTAATCATAATGGATTTGATCTATTAATATTTCGTTGGTATCTGCGTAATCATGTGACTAATAGGGTGAGGTCAATGTCTTAAAATTGAACCAAGCTAGATATAACCCTAACATGCATTACTCAAAACATTTCATACAATTTAATCAAAATATTGTTCATGCTTATAATATCATTTTTTTTTCTTTTGAATATGTGATTTGAGTTTTCTAATCCCAATAATAATTACTAGTTTGAAAGGTATGAACTTAGCTAATAATTGTGCCTATACACCTAAATATACAAGTCAGGTCATTTCGTTTTTCTTAATTTTGATATGCATGTTTAAGTATAAAAATTGGAATGTATATTTATAAGGGGACACTACACTGATGTAGGGATGGTAAGGGGCGGGGAGTATACATCTTGTGAAAAAATTTCGGAAGTGAGAAATCTTTGCCTCGGTCCGATCAATCCTATAGTCAAATTAGTAATTTAGTATATATATGGTCTTGCTCCTATGGTGCTGTTCGATCAATCAATCCTATAGTCCATAAGAGTGGTTCTATATATATAGTCTTGCTCCTATGAAAATCACTCGATTTATTGGTGCGTGTTTACATACCTAATGGTGCGGCCACATGTTAAGGCCTGACCACACTGAAATTTTGTCATATATATATATATATATATATATATATATATATATATATATATATATATATTAAAAGACATGACCATATTGGTCTTTGTTATGTAAAAAAAGGCTTAGTGTGTGTGCTTATATGGAAAGAAATAAATTAAAGAAGAGAAAAAAAGAGGATTTACACAGATCACAAATATGATGGAGGAATGGTAATCAGACTTTCTTATCTTTACGGATACAAGCACAACAATTAACTAATTTGCCCTTTAGTTAGCTGTTTTAGTGTAATTATGCTCCTTTTTACGTGGAATTTGATTTTTCCAATAGGTTTAATATGAGCCATTGATCTATTGATTTTTATGGCTTAGATATGTTCTCATGTGTAATGTATAAGTACGGTGTACACGATGTTGTGCATGAGTGTACATAGTTGCCCAGAGCACAACACAACACCCCATTCTACTGTCGTATGCTTCACGTGTTTGTCTCACTAAATTATAGCGTCAAACATTAATAAAACAATTAGATTTTCATATATTTAATAATAATTACAATAATTTATTATCTAAATGAAAGTATTTAATAATATAGACACTCCTATTTTGTTGTTGACTTACCTATTTGAACAGAAGTTTAGAATTTTGCTTGGACTAATTTGCCCTTAATTGATATTTATGAAGATTTAGATTGTCGATTATGCATATGAATTTAGGGTGTTGACTTTAATTCATAGTAGTTGATATCTCACACGCGCGCACGCACGCACACATACACATACACACACACACACACACACACACATTAATATTATCTACACTAAATTTTAGGTGAAATTAATATGTTATTTGTTCGGATATATTATATTTTTAGTTATGTTATATACATATGTAAATTTGTTAAGGATATAAACTATAAAAATCTTACATATTTTTGTTTTGAATGCTACTGACTCTATTACAATGTAGTATCTGTTCATAGTTATTTTCTCAACCTACTAAAGCACGAAGAGCCAACAACGCCTCCACTGAGACTCGAACTCATAAATTCCCATATAGGAGTCCAACCCGGATGCCATCTTGACTTAAAATAAAAAATTATATTCATTCCATTTAAACTGAACATATACAAAAATATCTTAAATATAAGGTAAAAGAATCACTTGAAATTAAACTTGCTAATTTTGTAAATAAATTTTAAAGAAATGTGTGTTAATAAACCAGTTTTATAAATAGAAAATGGAAAATATAAAACATATAATGATAATTGAAAAATTAAAAAACAAAAAAACAGAAAACATTTCCTGTAGTAAACTGCCAAGTTAACCAAAAAGTTAAAAGGATGTTTGGTAAATGATGGCAATTTATATCCTGCAATACGGCGCGCGTTGCATTGTGTGCCCAGATGCAAAACAACGTCGTTTCAGATTATTATTATTATTTTTTTTTGAAATTTTGCTACCCAGTGTTTGGTGGTTAATTTTACTTTAAAAAAATCTCATGTTCAAAAATGTACATAATGTTATACATGAATGTACATAATTGTATATATGAATGTACATAATTGTATAACAAAATATACATACTGTTTTTTAAAAGATAATACACGTAATCTAACATAATACATAATAAACATAAACTTTTAACATAATACACATCAACTCTTAACATAATACACAAAAATTTCCTGATTCGGATGTACATAATTGTATAAAAAAATATATATAATTGTATAAAAGATGTATATAATAAAAAATATACATAATTGTATGAACAAATATACATAATCACAGAAACTTCTTACCGCGCCTCCCAAAACGACGTCGTTTTGGGAGGCGCGCGGCGCACAGTGCTACGTGCGCCGTGGTGTAGGGTATAACGATTGGTAAATGATTGTTAATTAGCTGATAACAGTTAGCTAATTGGGTTAGTGGGTTTGACTAGTTGATAATAACATTAGTTGAATGTAGAAAAGTGTTTGGTAAATTAGTTAGTTGTTAACGGTTAGCTGATTACATACAAAATGACTTTATCAAAAAACTGATAAAAAAGCTATTTTGAGAAGATTTTTGAATTTTAGTATTTTGAAGCACTAAGTTGTTACAAAAAGTTAATTAATCAAATACTTATATTGATTGTTTAACTAATTTAAACAACTAATATTGATTAAATAAGCTAAAATTGACTAATAGACTAATTATTTTACCAAATATGGCAATTAACTCTAATTATGAAGAGAAAATGATAAAATAATCTACATTTAAAATCCTCCTCAGATCATGGAAGTAAAAAAATTTTATTCTACAGTTTTACCTTTTCCTTGACTACCAGCTTTTACAGTACTAGCAGCAACTTATAATGTGCTATAATAAATTCTTGCTAATCAATCCCAGGACGTACACCTGATCAGATCACCATCCATTCATCTTTACCTTCACTCTCTCTCTCTCTCTCTCTTTCTCTCTCTCTATATCTATATTTCTCTTTCTATAAAGGCAAGTCCACCAAGCCAAGAAGTCTCCCCTCTCCCTCCTCCCCCTTTACCTTTCTCAATACACACACAGACACCATGTCTGATCCTTACACAAACTTCCACTCCCAACACTGGCTCAAACTCCACCACTTTCCTCCTCCAAATACCTCTACTACTTTTCACTATTCCCAAACTACCCCTCCTTCCCCTCCTCTCCGAGAAGCCCTTCCTCTCCTAACCCTAGGCCCAACCAGACACAACCAAAACAATGGCCAAGAAGAAGAAGAAGATGATGAAGAAGGAGTGACAGTGGCGCTTCACATAGGGCCACCAAACCCTAGTGCTTCTGATCTGCAGGTGGCCGCTGCTTCTCGGTCTTGCTCGTCAACTGATGATTATAAAGATGGTCATAATCACGGCCAGCAGAATAATAGTAATGAAGATATTGAAGATGATTGTGGTGTTGAGTGCCTTCCCTATATGATGAACAAACTGAACAAAGGGCAGTATTGGATTCCGACTCCTTCTCAGATTCTCATTGGCCCAACCCAGTTTGAATGTCCTGTTTGCTTCAAGACCTTCAACAGATACAACAACATGCAAGTATGCTCTTTCAATTCCCTCTCCATCTCCACCTTCCATACATCTTTCTGATCTGCCTTTGATTCACTTGCTTTTTAGCCTTCAATTTCTTGCCCATCCTTCACTTCCTTTCTGTAGATCAAGTGCGGGGGGAGGGGGGGGGGGGGGTGTGTGAATTTTAATGATTTTGGTTTAGAACTAGTTAGGTTTGTTAGGTAGTGTCGGTTCTTCGAGCCCAGTTCATCATTCTGCCATCAAAATATGGTTGATTACTAGCAATAGCTTCTTGATCTTAAAATTGGGAACAGGTGATACTTTTCGTTACTAGTTATAACTTATGGTATAGTAGTAAGCGCTTGATCTGAACAAGATTCTTGTTCCCACATCAACTAACCCAGATTATATTAATCCAAGTACCAAGCTGAACCTGAATTCCGAACTTAAATTAACTTTCATTAGGGGATCAGAAGCTAAGGCAAGGCGAACTAGGACAAAAAAAAAGTATATTTTAATTAATTTCTTGGGTGTTTTCTGATTATTTTATGTTTGATAATTTGCATGGGGGTTGGGCTTTGAACATTTTAATTTGGTCGTACGATGTGGTGGTGTGTGTGATTGAACAACACAAGCAATATTGTTCCTTCTGTCTTTACCTATATATGTACAGTACCGAGGTAGTCTGTCATCTATATATATCTGCAGCTGTTTTGAACTCAAAATATTTTATGTTTTCAGGGATGGTGATGATCTGACCTGATACAAATTAAAGAAGCTACTTTTATACATACTTGAAAAATAAATGCTATATGTATCTATGAATTCACCTCTTTCCATCACAGCCCCTTAGCTTCCTTCTTTTGATTTCAATTTGTTTCCTTCATCATGACATTTCATAATTGTTGAAATTATTTTTCCCTAAATTTGTTTTGTTTTTTTTTTTTTAAAGACTAGAATATCACTTGAGTGCAGTGTAAACCCAAAGATTTTACTTTGTCATGCTTGGAGTAAAAAAGTAATTTATTCTTAATATATACCTAATCTGTAGTAATTTTTAAAAGTTAAATCTACAAGTATTAAAAATTTAACTCAGGTTTAATAAAATTAACTATAAATTATAGTAAATAAGACAATTAAAATATGATAGAGAGATTAAATTGTTAAAATGAAATAATTTCTCTTTCATTTTCTAAATACAAAATGTACCACATATATACTTATTGCTGCATTAATCCTTGGTAAAACTTTATTTAACCAGATATTACATTACACATTATCCACTAATGTTTCACATATAGGTTCCAAAGCTATGAATATATATTGTAAAAAACTTCCTATATATTATTTTGGTAATTTATAAGCAATGGGACTCAATAAATCATATATAATACTTTAACCATAATACCGGACTATATATCCCTCTATATATTCTCTCTAATTTTACTACGAAGTATTTTCCTTTTATTTTAGTACTACATTATTTAAATTAAGGTAGAGTAATATAACTTTGGAATTTTTGAGACTTTTTGGGTTGTGATATGATTTTTTTCTTTTTTGAGTGATGAGAAAAAGGGTAATTACTATCTAGAGTGTATCTGAATTGGGTAAATCTTGCATTATGACCTGGTCTGGCTGAGCTGGTGCTGGGTTGTGATTTTGATGAATATAAGTTGTGATAAATATAAATATAAATATATATAATATAATGTTGGTGCAGATGCATATGTGGGGGCATGGGTCCCAGTACAGAAAAGGGCCGGAGTCTCTCCGGGGAACTCAACCCACCGGAATGCTTCGACTTCCATGCTACTGCTGCGCGGCGGGGTGCCGGAACAACATCGATCACCCTCGGTCGAAGCCGCTGAAGGATTTCAGGACCCTGCAAACGCATTACAAGAGGAAGCACGGCGTCCGGCCGTTCATGTGCCGGAAGTGCGGCAAGGCGTTCGCCGTGAGGGGCGACTGGAGGACCCACGAGAAGAACTGCGGCAAGCTCTGGTACTGCATCTGCGGCTCTGACTTCAAGCACAAGAGGTCCCTTAAGGATCACATTAAGGCTTTTGGCGATGGCCATGGAGCTTACGGGGATGATGGGTTTGAAGAGGAGGAAGATCCGGCTTCCGAGATTGAACAAGATAATGCATGGTGATTATTATATTCAAGCTAAGCTAAGCTAATTCGATCAATTCATGCATACTCACTCATCATCGATAGAGATCTTCGATCTCATATATATGCCTGCGGGCCTGCCTGCCTAGACTTATATATAATATATATGTATGTATGCCCAACTCATGTCTGATCTGTTAAAAGATGCTAGCTGTATCTCATCTTTAACTTTATTTCATTTTAATTTGGAGCTAGCTACTTCAATTCGATTCTTCATTAATGTAGTTAGAATGCATCATGATTTGATTAAGCATCTTGTTAGGTTTGGAGAGTCAAGTTCTGCATACATCATAGTGTCGGTAGCTACATAAATATAATCAAATAAAGTTAGGTTTTTATTATCACTACATGTAACTTTTAACGTAATTGTAAGTTTTAATATTGACACTACATCTAATAAGTTATGTTTGTGTTTCAAGTAATTATGTTGGGCAGCGCCTAGCATCCTGCTATTGAAACCTAAGTGACATTCACTGCTATATGCAAGTATAAAGAAAAATTTTTTTACAGTTGTTATTAACTATATCTTAGTAGGTCACATGTTGGGAGATGACTTGGCATTAAGCCAACTAACCTTGACATCTTTTTCGTTCATTTTTTTTTTTTTTTTTTTTGAGATACTCATAAGAAATATTTAGTTTTTGATCGATGAACATTATATTTCAACTCGCTATTTTAAAATTGAGTTATTCATTAAACTCCAAATAAAGAAACTTTTTGATACTTGTTACTCTATTTACAGTACTCACTATAATATGTATTTTTAAAGAGAAACTAAACTTTTATTTGAACCACTACCATACATACTCATTGGTATTAATATATTAAGTTTACTTAGATTTCCTTTTTGTTCATCATCATGCATCATAGTTGGTTTGATTTCCCTCTTTCTAATTTAGTATTTCTCCAAACTTTTTTTTTTTTTTTTCTTTGGATGAAGAGGGAAACATGTAGTTATTATCTGATGATAAATCTCACTTATGTATAATAACATACAAGTCATTCATGAGAAATGAATTATATTTTAAAAAAAAATCATGTCCATTTCTTAATTAATTAGGACAATAACTTATTGAATCAATTACCATCTATCTTTTTTATTTGTTTAAATAATATTTTTTTAAAAAAATAAATTATTTTCCTCTTTGGGCAAGTAATAAAATATATTATTAGCTAGGGGATACACCCCCCCCCCCTCCTAGCTAGGAATTGAAGGACTGAACATGTATATATGTGAGTCTAGACTTAGCAGAAACAAAACTAGATGGGAAACACAGTCCCATAAAGTACGGGAAAGCTACTCCTAAGTCCTAAGCAATTTGACGTTTCGGTGAAACATCAAATATGTGTAGTATATGTAGTGTAGGGTTAGGGTATTATGACAATTATGTCCACCACTCCATGAGAAACACACAAATCTATGTTTTATATGTGTATGGATCACATACTGCCCAACATTCAGTTTACAATTTAGATTTCTTTAGCGTGATTATAATGTACGTTTCCACATTAATTATTAAGAAATTACATAGCTAGAGAAAGACTTACTTTAATTTATTGTATCACTATTTTCATTGATTTGTTAATTAATATTTAGTGTGAATAGTGTCGATCAAGATTTTTCTAACGTTGCGTCACTAGCTCTAAAATTGGTGACTTAAGATGAACTCATGGAGCGTTGATGTAGCCATGTGTTGGTATTTTTGAGATTTTATTCATTTTTCTCTGCTTGGTTTTGTTGTAAGCACCCGTGTACAGGTATTTAAACCCTTAAAGGTCACATCAATTGAGGTATATCTTGCAATTAATCTCTTTTACCAAGAGGGAGTGCTCGGGATTGGATTATAAAAAAATATGTATTTTTCAAAATTTGTAACACGCCAATTCCAATTAAGTATATGATAGCAACATTCGACGTGGAAAATACTATTTGAACTTTCATATTCTACTCTTAAATTTTATTCTCACGCTTTCCAAAAAAAAGTTTTATTCTCACTCTCAAATTTGATGTAGACATTTTTCTGAGACTCACGTGATAAAAATAATTTTTCATTGTTTGTCACATCAAAGAGGCGAAGAGTAAAAGTGATGGAGTAAAATTTGAGAGTAGATATAATTAAACTCGTTTTATTCAACCCCACTCAATTCAAAGTTTATGTACAAAATAATACGCTTTCGATCATCACTAGCGGCTTACAAACTATTGTTAAACTTCATTTTTTTTTATAGGGTAAAATACGATTGCAATACGGTTGTATTATTATCTGGTCGTTTATCAGTATTACAAGGGTCGGTTGATTAGAATGGCTATCTCTCCTACACTCTTACGCCTAAGTGATGTAGCCCAGTAGACGTGACAGTGGGTCAGAGGTTACGTTCCCGAGCTCTATGAGTGTCGTTGTTGTAAACAGCCAAAAATCCCTCCCAATTGCATTAAATGCGGTATTTATAGGGGCCAAGGGAACACACTCCAGTCCTTCGACATTTTGGCCACGTGGCGACCATGCATCGGGTGCGCGCATTCAGTCTGATCTAAAGTCGCCACGTGGCGGTAGATTCCTGAACAACGTAATACCAATCAAGTCCTAGCCGTAGGCCGGAACCGACCTAAAGAGATCGGGAGAAAACGATGCTTCAATTCAAAGGGAGCTCGAAAATCTCGAGTGACTGGGACGATCGACTAACCGTCCTGGCGTAGACCGGTTTAGCCTGAGCATGACCTGTATGTGCAGGACCGGTTAATGCCTTGACGCGAGGCACATGGAATAATTCCTATCAATTTTATACCCTTTTTTCAATATTCATTACTCTATTTTTTTTTTTTTAGTACTAGTGACTTTGTTACAATATAGTATCTCTTTATAACTATTTTCTCAACTTAATAATAAAGCACAAAGAGTCAAACTGCCCCCACAAAAGATCGAACTCATGACCTCATATTTGAGAGAGCCACTCCGTTTCATAAATGACGGGTTATGATTCTTATACAGAATATGATACACGTACGTATACATATTTAGTAAAGTGTAGTATGGTTAGCCGCTTCAATTCAAACATTATATTCTGCAGTACTTAATTCGCTTTCAATGGTAAAAAGGTAGGGAATTGAAGAAAGAAAATTGGTTACAAAAAGCAGACAAGAGAACAAACATTTGTTCTACTTTTAACATTGATTGACAATGAATTGCATGCAATAATAAGGATGATCCAAGTGGGATTTCTTTTTCACCCTCTTACCTTTAATGATTCATTATCCTTTAATTTCTTTTCCTTATTTTTTTTCTGATCTTTTTTAAAAATCCACAAGGAATATATATATATATATATATATATATATATATATATATATATATATATATATATATATATATATATATATATATATATATATATGGAAGGGTTCAGGTGCGGGTATAGCTTCCCGTGCGGTTAGATCTGGACCGTTGATCAAATTTAGATCAACGGCTCAAATCAATGAAAATTAAAAAAAAAAACACGTATCTGGAAGAAAGAAGCATAAGCTAAAAATGACGCACCTTAAGTGATAAAAACACGCACCTTAAGTGTTAGATCTTAAGCACAAACTCATGCACATTAAGTACAAAATCCACACACATTAAGCACAACCTCATGCACATTAAGCACAAAACCCACGCACTTTAAATATTAACTCATAGACTTTAAGTTTCAACAACTACTGACATTAAGCACAAACTCACGCACATTAAGTACAAAACCCATGCACATTAAGCACAACCTCACGCACATTAAGCACAAAACCCACGCACTTTAAGTATTAACTCACAGACTTTAAGTTTTAACAACTACTCACGTTAAGCACAACCCCACGCACATTAAGCACAAACCTCATGCACCTTACGCACAAAATTCACGCATCTTATATACAAAACTCACGCACATTAATCACAGATCTGCTCACCTTAATTTTGACCTAGATGCAAAAATTACAAAATTGTCACCGCATTTTTTTAAAAAATTTTGATAATCCTGAACGTTGATTTAAGCGAGGCGAATGGCCCAGATTAAACCGCACAACCGCACCTGGGCACCCTAACCGCACCAGAACCTAATTATATATATATATATATATATATATATATATATATATATATATATATATATATATATATATATAATTGAAGGAGTATCTATGATATATATATAGAGGATGTGGTTTAGGTAGGTAGACATGTTGTATATATAGATGACTGGATATAAGTAGAGAGTTGAGAGTATATTTGGTTCCAAAATGTAGGTGCAGGTGGCATAGGCTTTTCCACCGTGCAAAAAGAAAAACATAGCAGCTTTTGAGGTGCAAACATTACATATGAAAGCCTCTTTCTTCGGTCTGCTGTTGGAAGACGCAATAATTTTATCGTATTCAATGATTTATATATGTAATTTACTTGCACAGGAAATTAAATAATGAAACATTATATTATTTTTCATAATAAAATTTTATAATTGGTTTCAGTTGAATTGTCACGGTAAGTAACCGGTCTATTACTAAGACGTACTTATACTATCTAAATGCGTCCATTATAGTCATCAATTAACCTATCTAGTTTAATTTGCCTCCAACTGAATTTTTTATGAAAAAAGGAATCGACAGTCACTATTCAAAGATATGCACTAGTAAACTCCGCCCTATGATCTTAGTCGGCAAATAACTACAATGAAGTACCAAGAAGTGTAATAGACCGGTTTTACTGAAAATCGAACTTAAAACTGTGATTACTGTTTCAAGAGTCTGACCAACATAGTTGGGTTGTTGTCGAGACTAATGTTTTTAGTCTTTAACATAACGGTGGAGAGGGCAATCATTGTTTTCTTTTATTCTCTCTTGTGTCCGTGCAATATATGCGAGTACCTAGTATAAACTCTCCTTCCTCCATTAGTGAAAAAATATATGTACGTGGGCAATTGAAGCTAGCTAAGATGTGCGGACGGGAGGAGGAAGACGACAAGCACTCAAGCAGTGCAGGTACGTTAATTAAATGCAGAAGGGTTGCAACTTGTACCTGTAAGTATATTTGATTTGATGATAAAGTGTAGATACATATACATATATATATATACTGTAGATTGAAACGACCTTTCGATTTACCAAAACCTATGAATGTTGACTGATTATCTGAATTCCTTTGATTATGAAGCTGCCTGCACTTTTTTGTATGTGATTTTATGGACGCACAGAGT